ATTTTTATAATTTTTGACTGCATAGTTAATGATTTAAAAATTGTCAAAGTTGAAATTTATAATAAAAACATAGTAAGCGGACTTAAACTTTTGGAAGCAACCGTATGTGTTTGTACAATATAGTATATTATGTTTATATATTGTTGTTAATGTCTGGTATTCCTTTAGATATTGCTCTAGGTTCCTGATGTCCTCTTGGATTTTTGCAAACATTGAGTTATAGCTGGTTTACTGGTTATAACTATTGTTTGCAAGGTTCCTTTTAATATTTAGAAAGGTGTTTACTTTACACTGGCCTGGTTAGAAGCTTGGAGAGTTGATGTTGGATTTTATGGCCTTACTGTGATTCAGACTTTTTATGGTTTTCTCTTTTCTCTCAAAAGTTTTATAGACCAAATATAGGACTTATAATAAAGAGTATCTCTTTTCTTTAAAGCTGATCTTAAGAAGTGCTTTCTATTCTATTTTTTTAGAAGTTTGCTATGTCTTTGTTGCTTGACTGAAAGTATCTTTGTAAGTTTTCCAAGAAAATTATCAAAAAAGGAAAATTTTTTGAAAAAATGTGAATCAGCAGAAAGAGTTTTTTTTAAAAAATTTAATCATTTGCAATTATTAATTATTATTTTTTTTATATTTATATATACATATTGTTTTTTACAAACATTGAACTCTTTCCCGTAAATTCTTGACCACCCCTTTTAAAGAAGTGTTCCTCCAAAATTTTATGTTTTGAGAGTAATAAAACTTCAAAACTTTCTTTAAAAACATCTGCTTTGTTTAGCAGCAGTCATATTCTACACTTCTTGTTTACTTTTCCTCTTAAAAAACCCTCTACCTAAGAAGTTAATGACAAGAAAGCTTTTCTAGGAAGAAGAAACCAGACGAAAAAATACTCTCCTTCTCTTCCCTATATAGGTCCCAAAGTTCAAAAAGAAGTGAGTGCCAACAACTTTATGTCAGCTTGCTGACATAACTACCACAGGCAGAAACAGCTTCTCTCTCAATGTATAATAGTTTTTTCTTAGTTTTTCTGAGGATTTTGCCTACTTTAGCTTGACCCCAAATTTTCTGTTACACTGGATTTTGGACAGATTGATTGGTTAAAGATTGAAATTGGTTGCTCCATGGTTAGCAGAAATGTAAACAAGGATACACATGATACGTGATGTGAATGTATTTCCTAAGCTCCATAAGAACCTTAGATCCATTATAAGTCATTGGCTGGAAGTGCGGGTGGATAAACATTATATGGACTGTGGTCTTCTCTCTCTTATTATTATCTGAAAGTGTCATGGCTATGGAATGAGTACCTCTTTTATTGGAATAGAACCTCAAGAACTCACACTACTCTTGAAGACACAATCATTCTTCCATTCCAAAAATCACTCTAGGGTTTTTCCATTTTGATTCAAATGGTTTTTTCACCCTTATATGACACAAAATACTACCGAACTCACACTTTTTCTTTGAACACACTCGGTAATTGGTGACAGGCCATAATCAACAGGATCAAAAGAAAGGTATACTTCTCCTTTCTTGAAACTAATAAGTTCACCATAACATGTTAGTTGGGAGGACTCCAGAAGGATTGAAAATCCAATAAGGAGTATCTAGTTTTTTCTAAATAGTAGTAGTAATAGAAATTTAATTCAACTGGATATCTCCAGACAACAAGCTATCCGGTAAATCCATTAAAGATCAGGTTTTAGGGAGTTTTATTGACATAAATAATATATGACTCCACATGACAACCTTTGTAATCTCTGCATTAATTTGTATATTATGTTATCAAAGTTAATAAATATGGCTGAGCTTCTATTCCAAAAAAAATTGTTTTTTACAAACTTAGATAATTATTTTATTGTATTATCCTTTTTCTGCTGATTCTTTGACTATACACAAAAAAGATATTTGCAAGAAGTTTTATACTTCTTTGCTAATAAAGTCTTTCACTTTCATTAAAACAACTTGAAGCTTATCTTTATGTATCTCTCTTACTCTCCCTTACTTGTTTATAAACTTCTTTAAATAAAAACTTGAGCCTTTAGTGGCTTGAAAAGACTCAAGTATGTATTTCCTTTACTAAAGGCAAGAAGGTTCCAGAATGTAAAAAGACTGATAAGTGGAGTGTCACCTTACAGAGCTAGAAGTGATAAGAAATAGAGATTTTGTTGACAGGGGAAGGCTTATTATCTATTTTCTCATATACTGTCTTGTACCCTTTTAAAGTGTCTACTGTTTTTCATAGTTTTCTTAGGAAATTTTGCTTATTTCAGTTTGACCCTGAATTTCTGATAGCACAATATCACCTGGTATCTGATTGGTTGACACAAAACATATTAATAACTAAATGTAAACAAGCTTCTATTGGTCACATTACATGTTTTGATGATGTCATTAATAATAGAAAGAGTTAATTGGTATCCCATATCAGCCCCACTTCTCCAATTGGATTAACCTACAGATCAAGTACCATGAGATCAATAAGATATAAGTTACAAGTTTCCAGGTAATGAAAAAGCTACTATTTGTTTAAGCTGGGATTTTTCTCTTCTATCATTCTGGTCAGGCAAAGTTCAAGATCAAGGTCTCTTTTTTATTCTGGTCAGGCAATAAGACCAAATGGTCTCTAGTCTATGCTTAGCTCCAATTCTTTGATTATAGTTGAGAATATATTTTCCCAAGAGTTGTTGAAGAATATCACAATCGATGAGGATCTCTATTACTGCCGAGACCCTCTCACCATTACAAGGTAAAAGGATTATTGGGGAATCTGATCTTTTGGATAATAGAAGATGTATATCAGTAAAATTCCTTTAATTAGGTGTGACTGCTGAAAGGTATCATACTGAAACAATATAATCTAGTCCTTACTGGATCATATAAGAACCTAGGGTCTATCATAAGTCATCTCTTTATCATAGGTGGATAAAAAATTATTGCTTAAAGAAGGTTGGGACCAAGTATGTCCTAGAAGTAAAGGCTCCCACTAGGTAATAAGTTTCCTCATATGATACACAAGAAGGAAATCAAAATCAAGAATGGATAAGTTCCTTAGATGATCAAGAAAAGAAAGGATATCCCAATTAGATATTTCTTATTGAGAAGAGATCTTGAGAAGTAGGTCTTTGAAGAAAGCTAGAAATATTTTTTTCAATTTTTACTCTTTTATTTCCTTGTTGTCTACTTAGATATTTTTAGATATCCCCTTTCCCCTTTTTTCAATTCATCCTTTTATAGTTTCCTGTATTCCAGTAGCTTGATCAGACATATAGCAGTGACAATTTGCTGGCAATGATGCAGTGAACTAGGAGAATCTTTACCCAAAGATACTGCAGAGCGAAATATTGTCCCCAAGGCTGAACTTAGAGGCTTTTATACTTACGACGAGTTAGTTAGATTAGAATAATAGTTTAGCTGTAGTATGTATCATGCTATTCAAATGAAAATGTACTTTTGTTTTCAATTGATTAATAAACTGATGATCTAGCCTGGCTATAGGTACTCAAAAAAAAAAAATAATTATTTTATTGTATTATACGATTAATAAAAAAAGTTCTATTAAGCAATATTATAAATATTAAATTTTATTAATATCTTATTTTAACAATTTATTAAAAATAAAAAAAAAAAATGGTCTAGACAACTATATGCCATGTAATAATATTGAAAAAAAAAACAATATAAAAAAACATAGCGTATATATTATGTTAATAAAAGTATAAGCTTTGAATTTTATTCTCACAAAGAATTAAATTTCAGATATCTAGTTAATGCCAAAGTTTGATTTATCTCACAATTGAATTTCTTATTTAAGATACTTTAACTATCGTCGTTCAAAATTATGCATCGAATTCAAACCGACCTTCAAATGATATAATAAGTTTGCCATGATAATCTAAATTAAGAATAATCCTATATGTAGTTTCAATAAAACAGTTCTATATCACAATAAATATTAGTCATTATATCCAAAACCGTTATTTCCCAAGCCTCTTTCTTAAGGCGCGCTGTCTCTTCCTTAGTTTCTTATGTTTATGTTTATTCATCTTTAGCCTTCTTTTTTGCATAATGTTCGTCAAGTATAGAATATTCGCTTTCCTCTTTCTTTCTAATCTTTCATCGAAGTTCGTAGTCGATTGCTCTTGGGAATTGATAAGAGAACTATTTTCTTTCTCCCCCTCTATAGATGGGGCAATTTCTTCACCTTCAACCATAACTACACCGTCTAAGAATTTATTCACAATTGACAGTTGTTCAGCAGGTGTCATTGGTATCGTTGATTGTGTAGGATAGAATGGGGTCAAGGTTATGGAGAGCGAGTTTGTGTGAGATGACGACAAACTTTCTTCTTCAAAATCTAATAGATATATACGAGCAAACACTTCTTAACCGGATCGAATGAAAAAACATCTTGCATGCATATAGGGACACGAAAGCCATGTTTTACCTTCTTCTTCCCACTCCTGCTGAATATTTTGCGTTTGCTCATTTCCAAAAGATAGCAAAGGTCTATCAAGCGCATAAAAAGTTATTTGCGCAAGGTCCCGCGGACGAATTTGATTTACATGTACAAAGGACAATTCCTTTTTTTGTGGAGTAGCCGGGGCGGTGATTCGTTTTGTGCTATTTGAAGATGAGGACGACGAGTGAGATCGTATTGTGAATCGCGGTACCAAGGAATGACGAATGCTGGAAGTTTGAAAAATGGGTTGAATTGTTTTGATAGGATTGTATTTTGCTAATGTTCTTAGTGTTAATGCCATGTTTGCAAAAAATCGTTCCTAAGAAGAGGTTGTTAGAGAGTATATGTACACATTGAATGCTCTATATTTTTGTTGCACCAGCTTGTGTTTGTTTTTTCAAAAGAAATGATTGATGCCTGCTGATACATATCTGTTACGTAATTATTTTTTTTTTAGTAACGTAATATAGTAAACATTTTTTTAAATTAGGCAAATATACATAAAAATTAAAGAATTCTTGCAAGTGTACACCATATACAGTATGTAATTGTAGAGGAAGAAGTGGATTATTATTAGATACATTTATTATTATAAACAAATTCATATAAATGAGTTTATAATTTATTGTATAAATGATTAAATCAGAATCTTGTATATTTTAAATAGTTCTTTATAATAGTTTCAAATAATGTATTCTTTAATCTGTTCTTGAATTATTTCAAAACATATATATTTGCATATAAATATATTAAGATTATATCCGTCAATTACGAATTCAGTCTTATGATGTGTTTATAAATATATAGATAAGTAAATGTTGATGAATAAATTAAATATATTTTTTTTTTACGTATACCATGACTTTTTCCCATCAACACAATTTTTGCAATCACATAATTCCGAGGTATCAATCATATCAATCATCGAGATGAATTAGGTGACGTTCTCTGTTGTTATGAACGTCATTGATCATTAAATCCTAACGCCTCTCAATCGGTGAAACCTCTTAGTGATCACAACAGTCCTTGATATTATGCGTGGGTCCAAGTGTGAATGTCGGTGTTCGTTGTGACACTTTGGTGTCGGTTGTCTTCAAAGATGAAGTCGCAATAAATTTTTTTAGTTATCTGTTAATAAGTGGAATTGGAACTTGTGTACGACTGAATTGGGTATTTTGAAGATGAATGTTACAAAAAATGTGGCAACGACTAAGGCTCACAAGTTTCATTTTATTTAAAGAAAAAATAATCGGTCTTATCAATAAAATAGTCTTCCCTTTGCAAGAAAGAAAAAAAAAAAAGAAAAGTAAATTCATTTCTTCTGATGCAATCATTCTGTCACCTTTCCTCCCCTTCTACCTGTATATCATCCCAGCGAACCGAATTATTCACCAAACCATAACTCCCACCAAACCAATAAATTCTGATTCGACCTTGCTTTTCAAAAACGACCGCAATCTTTCAACGATTTGAAATAAAGAATTATTTTTTGCACAAATAATGTAATAAATTATTATGTACAGGAGAAGCAATTGAACGCGTGTGGAATAATATAGTAAATTAAGAGATACTTTTAAGAGAAACTATATTCAAAGAAGAAAAAATATATACAGAAAATCTTTGCTGCTCATTTTGCAAATAAAAGATGTCAATTTTCGGCGTCGATATCCGTACGATGTTAATAGAAATTAGTTTGTATACGAAAAAGGAAAAAATTTGGAAGAATGAGATTGAAGATATGATGCATAAATGCATATTTCCAAGATAGCAAGAATCTATAAACAATTTTACAGTATTATAAGAGAAGTGGTATGTAATTAAAAAGGAGAAGGTTGAAAAAGAAAAAGCTTTGGTCGATTTACAGTAAATAGATGTATTGAAATCTATGCAAACATATTTTTCGAAAGGAAAAGAAAAAAAAAAACGAGAAATGATAAATAATTCACAGCACTCAAAACAAAGAGAAAAGAAAAATAAAGAGAGAAAAAAAAAAAAAAGTAAAGAAAAAGCACAGATCCATTGCATCAACTCGTGAAAATAGGTGAGCACTGCATTGTTTACGGTTTCAAGTGATTGCCCCCCGCATCACTTATGAATTCCTAGGGCACTGATCATTAGGGGCTCTAATGCATATTACATCCTAGCTCCTCAGCGAACCAATCCAAAAAGACGACGTAGTAAAGGCCTTGCCATTTCTTCAAGAATTTCTTATTCAGGAAGTTTGTGCTCAACTGGCGTTTCCAACTGATGACCTCAACCTTCCATCCTCGTTCCAAGGCTTTGATTACACATTTATGGAATCCTCCTTGGAAATACTCGGCATCTTTGCCGTCGCCGCTGGCGAGGACCAGAGTGGCAGGTGCGTGGTAATCGAGTAAGGATTCCAAGATTTTGAGATGAATCAGTTCATCGACGCATTGCTCTTTTTCCATCTCAAACGCATTTGACTGATGATAATCACTAATGTTATCTAATTGTTGCGTGTTATCGTCAGAAACACTTCTTTTCACACGCTTAAGGACCGAAACTTCGTAACCGGCATCCTCAGCTTTATCGAGTTGCTGATATAATGGCGAAGAGGCCACTAAAACTCTGCGTGCAATATTTCTGCCGCGTTCGAGAATAGTAAAGAGAGCATCATATTCCAACATTGGCTTGGTCTTTTTTCCCAAAACAGGTTGAGAGTTTGGCGTACGACGAAGAAATTGCTGTTGTCGATAGTACGCCACGAATCCAGCAAGGATGTTTGAATTATCGATGAATACGTGGATGGGATCTTCCGAGATACCAATGGGAATTGGTATCTTAAACTTGGGGTTCGACTTCCCATTAGGTTTATCAACTTCCTCTTGAACTTCTTTTAGGAAAGTTGATTCTTGTGTCGGCTTATGGTTGCTTGACGGAATGATCGAATAATACAGGTCATTGAAATTTACTTTTTTAATGGCAGCACCACTTGCATTCTGAGATGGAGAAACCATTCAACGCATTAGAAAATCACTGCTTTCTATATCTCGAGATAACGGGCAGATTTCTGTGTTCAAATTACATACCGTTTTGACGTTCTCGGTCCCTTTCGGTTTAGCTTCTTGAGCGTTCGCTGCTTTTTTGTTCTTTTTACCCTTTTTCGTTGCCGCCTTTTTGTTACCCTTGTCGACAGTCAGTACAACATACCCCTCAACTTTCTTTTTGACCGCCTTAAGATCGGCGACCAAAGCCTCTTCCTCCGAGGAATATTCGGACGATGAAGAATGAGGCAACAACGGTGGTTGTTTGCATCCTGCCGGTTGACTATTTGAAGTCAATATGCTTTCCATGTCTGCAAGATTTGTGGAACCAGCATTACACCACTTCTCCTTCTCTCCACTTAGAAATCGCCACAACTCTCCGAAATCTCCTAAATTCGACGTATCTTGGCTTTCATTCTTTGTATGTGCCCAAAGAGATGCAAAGTTATTCAGACCGCTTGAAGGCTCTCTAGACGATAGAGCACGTGATGTGGTGGCCTGTGAAATTGGAATTGTTGCGTGTGCCATGTAACCTCTATTATACAATGTAATATTTTTTGCTCGCTTTTTTTTTTTTTTTGTATAAAAAAAAAAAAAAAATGAAAGTATCAAAACAGTATATCCACGCCAAATTAATATTAAAAGTGTCTTTTGTTTTTGCTGAAGGAAAAAAATCAGAAGGATAAAAAGGTAAATGAAAAAGTAGGAAGATTTCGTTCAGCACTCCCCAGTAAGGTATTTATGGGTGCTGCACCACTGTATCACGATTGTACTCCTTACGGATCATAAAAATGTAATGTTGAATTCCTATTGTGTATTTTTTATACAAAGAACGGAAGATGAACCCCAATAAATAATAATGCAAACTAACTTCTTGAAACTTGATAACACAGTAAGTGATATCATTTCGTTACATGGAACCGTAAGTTGAAGTAGGGTGGCGCAAAAAAAAGTAGTAACATAACAGGTCATGTTATTTCTTATGTTTTATGTACAGTAAACTTTTGTATGCATGACGTAAAGAAAAAATTGCAATTTTAATTGGAGGTAATGTAATGTACTTAAATTCCTGCGCCATTCGCAGATCACATGATATATATTATTAGGGAGGGGATTTGGAAATTTCGAAATTTAAATCACAACACACAATCATGATTCTTCGTAGATCAGCTCGCATTGCAGCCAAGGAAAAGAAAAAGGAGACGAGTCAACAAGCCGACTATGTAACTACCAATGAGGTTGTTCGTTCGAAAAATAAATCTACAGGTAGGTCCTTCCTCAAAGAATCCTCAAAGGACGCGCAAGAGGTCTACGTCGAAATTATCACTGGCAAAGAGAAATCCGACGAGCATTTCGAATCTTCCCCCGAGAATTCGGTTGTCAAGGAAAACTCGGAAGAGCCTGTTCAACCTTCTACCGAGACCTTCGGTTGCGACGAAACTTTAAGGGAGGACGTTAGTACGCCAGTCGAAGAAGATAAATTTATGAATGCAAAACCTACCAGATCACAAACCACTCGGACAACTTTAAAAAAAATTGTTCAACATTCAGATGGAAGCAAGAGCATATTTGAACCGATAAATTTGCAGTGGCTGCAAAGTAAACGAGAAGGTAAAGAGTCAAAGAATCTTGATGATCATGGTGATGATATGGATGATAGTGATGATTGGGAAGAAGTAGATTTGTCACAATATAAAGGTAAGTGATCATGAGTTTTTCATCTTCTGATTTATCAATATTCTTACGCGTTCCGTAGGTTCACAGGATGATTCCGCGGATGACCCTGATAGAATCATTACGATCACTTTCTCAGCTCCAAAAGTGGAGTACAAGTAAGATTCCCATTTCGTGTTTGTTTGAGATCAATCCACAATCCTTCTGACATCAGTCGTTCTCCAAAGACCTCGAGGAATTACCAAGATCGAGCGAACCATACGGCATAACATTCACAAGACTCACCTGTTAACATTACTCGCTAATGGCATTGTAAGGAACGAATGGTGCAATGACCAGCTGATTCAGGTATTCTCTCCAGTTTTTGATTCTCACTTTTACCGCCGTCACGTGATTAGTCTGGTTATACGAGTAAACACAGAATTTTTCCTTCGTTCCAGGCTATGGCGTGTTCGTTGATTGAACGTGACATGTTGGCTCTTTTTGATAAGGCCCTTAGACCGAACGACAGTTCACGCGGTCAATTACTGATCACCGCAATTCAAGAATTGTGCGATTGGTGGAAAAAATATTTTATAATTTCCAAACCTGGAATTTGTTTTAGAGAGTATCACGAATTTGGTACGAAAGGTCTTATCGAGGTAAATGGACGCTTTATAATGAATCCCTTAACAACTATTTTTAAAAATCGATGATAATGACAAACATATCCATAAATAGGATTATGAGGTGTTGTTTCCCGATGTTCTCACGTCGATAAAATCTTTTCGCAAAAGTCTCAAGATTGGTGAGGGAAGCCGTGACACATCCGCCCAACTATTCGTTGCATTATTAAGATCGTTAGGAATTCCTGCTCGATTGATATGCTCTTTGCAAGCGGTCTCCTTTAAATTTTCGCGTAAGGACAATTCCAAGAAGCCAGAAGGAAATTTCGGTAGCGATGTGAAATCAACGGATCAAAGTGATAAAGATATTAAAAAAAAATTTAACATAGATAAATACACTTTATCATCCAAAAACCAGAGTAGTGGTAGCAAAAGGAAAGAAAGGGAGGATGATGATTATACTCCTCACCAAAAGAAACCAACGGTTTTTTCACGGCGATCTTCTAGCGTATCAATTAGTGCGCGATCAAAATCATTTCCCAAACATTGTATGTATTTGTTAAGCATTTATATTCAAGACAGACTTTTAATAAAGGAATGTGGAAATCGGTTTCATCACCAAAAGCTCATGATTGATTTACCAATCTATTATGATTAACACAAGACGCGTGCGAACTCGATTCTCCGCCAATTTTCTGGTGCGAGGTATACTTTGCAGTCCACAAGAAATGGCTCTGCGTTGACCCGACTCGTGCGTTTGTGAACAGACCGAAAGCAATGGAGCCTTCAGTAACAGACAAAAATAATGTTATGGCGTATGTAGTGGCTTTCGAACAAGGTAACTAGCTAGTCGCTGATTTGAGCGGAGTGTCATTACTTTGGATTTTTTTTTTCTTTTATTTGAATGCACTAAATTCATGGAACGTTGAAATGTAGATGGCTATATCAAAGACGTGACCCGCAGATATACAACGCAATGGGGTGCGAGAACGCGTAAACTACGAATACCTAGCACCAAGGATGGGTATGATTGGTGGGATGAGACGTTGGCATATTTCGCACGTCCGTACGAGAGGGTAACTATGTGTAAAATGCTTTGCCTTTATTAATTTCAATAATATTTATATTTACGATTTCGATGCATAGGAGCAAGATCTGTGTGAAGATGCGAGCTTGCTTTCGATGGAAGTCTCTGAACGCATGCCCACCACTATTAGTGCCTTTCATAATCATCCTTTGTATGTCAATTCATAGTAGCAGTGTTATTTGTTTGGTCTGATCTAACAACTTCCGTCATCGATTGTAAGGTATGCTCTCGAACGCCACTTAAAAAAGTTTGAAACAATTACTCCCAAACTACCAGTACTTGGACACATTCGCGGTGAACCAATATATCCGCGTAAAAATGTTAAACAGGTGATTAAATGATTATTTAAGGTTAAAATTTAACAAATTGATTCCTTAATGAATATGTATGCTTACGCCTTCTTAGTTACACACCGCGGAAACTTGGTTGAGAGAAGGTCGACAAGTGATGGTATATTAGTAACATTATTGTTGATTCTGTCCTGAAGGTTAAGTCTCTATAATTAGAACTTACTCAATTTAATATATGCGGATTGATGGTAATTAAGGAGGGACAACAACCAATTAAGCATGTTAAATCGCGCATATACACCTTAGCGAAACGAAGGGCTGCAAATATGGCCGAATTGTTTAACGAAGAACCTCTCGAGTCAGGCCTTTATGGAGAATGGCAAACCGAAATTTATAAACCGGATCCCGTTGTAAATGTATGTATGACAATCTGCTCCACTTTTCACTTGAGATTTCCTTTTCCACAAGGTATTTATCCAACTCCGTCAACAGGGAATAGTGCCAAAAAATAATTACGGAAATGTAAATCTGTTTAAACCGTCAATGTGTCCACCGGGCGGCGTTCATCTCCCATGTAATAAACAAACATCTTTGATATAATTCATTCTGCGATTTCTCTGAATACCTTTTTTGTTTTTTAGATAATGGAATGGGAAAGATTGCAAAAAAATTTGGCATTGATTATGGCGAAGCAGTGGTAAGCAGTTTTACGCAATCACTGGCGTTTTAGAAAATTCGTGAACTCATGTCGTACGTAGTAAATTTGATTATGCCTCCTATATTCCAAGGTCGGATTTGACTTTCAATCTCAGCGATGTGTTCCAGTAGCGAAAGGCGTCGTTGTTCCAGAAGAGCATGCTGAGATGTTGTTGGAGGTAAGTTGAATTTTACGTGCTTCTTGAAGACTGCGATTTTTCAATAAATTTATTCGAAATATAGGCATGGGAAGAACACATCAGAAATGTCGAGGCGACGAACAGGGCGAAAAAATTAAAAGAAATTTATGATAATTGGAGAAAAATGATTATAGGATTGCAAATTCGGCAAAGATTAAAGGATGATTATGGTGATAGGGTTGAAGAAGACCTTTCTTTGGAGAATGAAGATGAAGGGGAGGATGAGTTTTATCACGGTGAAACCGACGAGGAAAAGGTAGAAGAAGATGGACCCACTGACGGTCAATATGTCGATGCTAAAGATTGTGGAGAGGTCATCGTTGAAAACGTAGGCGACGAAGGAAATTGTGTTGGTTCACAAGATGAGAACATAGACGAATTGTTCGCCGACTTCAAAGAATGTGAAACAGAAACAGATCTTCTTATGGAGGATGTAGATCTTAACGAAGGTATTATTAATGAAAATGATGTCGACATGATCGACACTTCAAGCCATATCGAAGATGAAAATTTCCATGTCTACACCGGTATCACCAATGAGGTTTTAATTGATCAAGAATGCTTAAATAACTACAACGATCCGTTTGATACAAAAGGCGGGTTTTTGCTCGAGTAATTTTTGCCCCTCAACTTATTTCAACTTGACAATAGCATTACATTTTGCAATTCCTGTATGATCTCGCAAAAATAATTAATGAGAAAATTATAATATTATTTACAGGATTTATCATCAATTCAATAAAAAAAAAAAAACAAAATGCATCTCATTAGCTACATAGTCTTATTTGATAGATTATCTTTATCATTAGGATTACGCATAATAAATAATTTCATTGGTGCCTAATAAATTGTTTAAAAAAAAAAAACCCCAAAACTCGCGACATTATTTTGAATAAATTCTTATTCAAATAGTATTGAAAATTAAAAAATTTTCATCAGGTTAGTTATGTGTTTTATTGTATTGTAAACTATACATATATTTATATATTGCTAAAGTTAATTCTTTAGTTAACTCATTTGTCCTTATTTAAAGAACTTTAAATGTAGCTTTAACTTTGAAAGTAATTTTTTTTGTTCATTAATAGTTTTAATAACTTTTCTTTTAAATATTAATATCACTATCTATAAATTATTATTGCAATTCATTTTATCAAATTCTGACAATATTCGAATTCTACCATTTTATTTTTATTTATTATAATTTCTATTAGATTTCTTTTATTTTTTTTTCTAGTTTCTATATATTTTTGATCTTGTTAGAATTTATAGAACAAAATAAATTATAAATTTTCCAACTTTCAAATACCTTGATTCAATTTTTAATTTTTTTTTTTATATCTTATATTTTAAGTCTATTTTCAAAATTAATTATAGATTTTTTTTTATACACTAGTCAAAATTATGTCATTCGGCAACTGAATTATTGCTGAATTTGATTAAATTTAATAATAAAAATATTGTCAAATTCTTTTCGATTGCTACCACTCGGCATATTACATTTTGGCAATAAAGTGACAATCAAAAATTCGGCAATCAAAAATTTGACAATCAAAAACTCGGCAATTAAAAATTCAGCAATCAAAAATTCGGCAATCAAAAATTCGGCAATCAAAAATTTGACAATTAAAAAATTTGACAATCAAAAATTTATTAATTAAAAGTTTAACAAAAAATTCGTCAAAAATCTGCCCTTTAGATATTTTATAGTTATTAATTTAAAAATTTTAATTTTTCCTAGTGAAGAATATTTGACTTATGTTCCTGCCTTTCACTTTAAGGACCCATTTTTAGCTGTATGTTATGACTCCTCTAACAATATACTTCCATTCAATTTTGTGCCCTGTATTGATATTTTTCTTGTGTTTCTGTATTATTTGTGTTCTTTTCCATTTGTTTTGAATTGGTTCTGTCTATTTATCTTGAGCTCTTGCTGCACTTTCCTCTGTCAAGACCTGTATGAACTCTTCTTGAAGTCTTGTTGGTATTGTGCCACATTGAAAGATATGGTCATTTGTTTCTCTGTACTGTTTGCAAGTTTTGCATTTATCATTGAGATAAATATCAGGATGTCTTTCATTTAGTTTGTCCATAGTAGGTAGTTTTCCTATCCATATTTTAATTTTGAAAGATCAGTCCATGTGATCTCTTATATTAGTTGATAATGCTGTAATTGCTGTTGGCATTAGGAGCTCCAAAGTCATAGGCCAATGGATTTCTTAGGATTTCTTCTGGTTCAGTCAATCCTGGTTTCTTTGTAGTGTTTGCCATTTGCTTGCCCATTTGTTTTTAAGAATTTGTCTTGTTAGAGACTTGATTTCGATATTATATTGTTTTTGGTTCCATCTGATGAGTATGTTTATTGATATAGATATTTTTGTATTTATTGTTATTGTATGTTTGGGTTTATCTGTTAGATTTGTTGAGGCTAGCTGATCTGTTTTTTCATTGCCTAGGATGCCAGAGTGACTCTTGAATTTTGTCCAGATAATTGCGAGTTTTTTCCTTTCTGTCAAGTTCCTAATAGTACTACTGAGGATTTGATTTGGCTGATATGTGTTCCTTCGATGTCTCCTATGTAGTGGAGGCTTTCCTAATATGTTGATTGCTACCTGACTATCTGTGAAGATTGTGATTGTTTTATTGAAGCTAATGGTACTTATTGCGATCATGATAGCCATTAGTTCTGCTCTTGTGAATGAAGGGGTATCGTGTATCTTTGCTTGAAATTCTGCTAATTGTTTTCCCTCTTTGGTGGTTATGATCCAGCCTAGTCCCATTCTGCTTCTCTCTGGGTATCTGGTGAAAGAGCCATCCATGTATATCTGCAGATCATTTAGTTCATTCAGGTTTTTTGCTATGGCTGAAAGCTGATCTGTAAGTCTTGAGTGTCTAATTAATCTACTGTATATTAGATATATTGTTTCTGAGAGTGGATCAATATGAAGCTGTGGTATTGTTCTTGGAGTTATTGATTCTGCTTTTCTCTCCTGCAGTGCTTTCTTGATTTCCTTGGGGATAGAGTGCAGCCTATTTGTTATGTGTTGCTATTCCATTAGCTGGTCCTTCTGGGGATCAGCTGATTTTGAGCTTTTATCTACTGTTACATTTACTGTTCTTGCTCTTATTAGCTCTGCAATACATTGACCTTGTTCCTTGTATTGACTTCTCAATTGTTGATTGTTTTTTTGGCATCCTTTGCATTTGAAGAGAGGAGATGTTAATGGTCATGATATTATGTGGTTGGCTATGATTTTGTCTGAATCTGTCATTCTTCTTTTCTTGTAGATTGCGATTTCTCCATCTGATTCTGTGGCTATCCACTTGATTGTTGTCTGTGTTTGTGATAGGAGAACTGGGGTGTTGCTGCAGAAGCTGTTATTAGTGTCACTAGTAGGAGATTTAGCTATATTTGTATAAGAGTACTGGTTTGGATCTATACATATAATTTGTCGTAAGTCTTGAAACCATCCAGGAGTCCTACTTTGTCTTCCTCTCCTTGTCCTAAGTTGTTGCCATGTAAGGGGTCTTGATAGGTCATCATTCATAAGCTGTTCCTTGAATAGGATTCCTCTTTTTCTCAGAGCTTGTCTATTTTGGTCATACCATTTGCTTGAGGTGATGTCTTTGATAGCTGTCTTTCCTCCACTAGGTGCAGTACAGATTGTTGTATGGTTTGTTATTTCAAAAGTGATACCCTGAACTTTGAGCATATTAAGAATATTATTTGTAAGATTCTGTCGTTTTTTGATCCAAAATAAGTATTTGTTCTCTAGAATTGATACATTTGACCAGTATTGATTCTGAAGTTGTTGCAATCTAATTCATGCTGTTTTACTACATGTGTCTGATCCGTTGATTCTTTTTTTCCAATTGTTTCCATGCAACATAACCTGTCTGTCCCATATGTTGAAGAGTTTGTATCCAAAGTCTATATGAATAATGGTGTTAGGGGCTGTCCTGGGCAAATTGATTTTGTGTTTGAAAGTTTTAACTATTTTGTTGTTAAGTTGATTTCATTCTTGTTCGGATAGGACCATGTCATTGAGGAAGTACTCAACTGATGGATATAGTACATGATTGATTATGTATTGTGCCTATTTATCAGTGATTTTTTTCTATTTAATGAGATTCATTGTGTTGTCAATTTTTTCCCAAATAAGTTGTTTTTGATGTTGTTTTTTCCTATCCTCTGAGATCCAGACTTATAGGATGCGAGCCGTTGCATTTTTTTTCAAAAGTATAACCTTGGTTCCTGCCAGTGTGACTCCCTATACCCGGTCATCTTGGCTCGCGTTGATACAAATGAGTGATGACTTGTCTCTATTAGCTTGTATGTCATTGATGTAGAGGAATTTTAATGCTGTATCTAGGATATTTTGCATGCTAGATCTGTTTAAGGCATACCAGGTGATGTTGTTCATATATGCTGTTGCTCTGATCATTTGTGATCTAGAATGTTGAAATGTTCTATTGTTATTGTCCATTGCAAGGTTGGACTCCATGTAGCTTTCATTACATAACCCATCTTTTTGTTCTCTATTTCTTGTATCAGGGGATCATAGAAGATCCTTCATAGGAGTGGAGATATGATGTCTCTTTGGTCGATCCTATCTTGAATTTTATATTCTTCTATATATCTGTGTGCTATAATAACTCTATTGTGTCTATCTGTTAGGATGTCTTCTATGATGTTGATGATTTTTCCTGGAAGTTTGATTCGCTTCAGTGCCAGTATCATTATGTCTTTATTTATTGAATCAAAAGCCTTGCTTATATCTTGGCTAAAGATCCATGTCTCTTTTCCTACCTCTCTAGCTTCTTCCAGAAGATTATTCATTATATGTATTGGTTGTTGCGTGCTATTACCTGGAAGTCCTGCCCAGTTGCTCCTTGATGTTATGTGATATTGGTTCTGTGTTGTTGCTATTCTGTTGTTAAGTATTGACATAAAAACTTTTCTTGTTGTCTCTAGAAGGGTAATTGGTCATGTGATATTAATGTTCCCCATTCAGTCTTTAGGTTTAGGGATTGGATAAATTTCTCCTTGTTTTTACTTCTTTGGGACTTTTCCTATTTCTATGATCTGATTATAGATTGTTTCTAAAAGCTGGAGACCCTTGGGCCCTAGATTTCTTAATATAATATATGGTATTTTTGTGGGTCCTGGTGCACTGTGTTTGCTTTTTGCTTGGATTGCTTCCTTGATTTCTTGAGTATCGATCCTAGTTGTCACTGGTTATACCATTTTGAATTGATGTGTTCGATTGGTGCGTATCTGTTGAGCCAGTTTGGATAAGTATGCAGGTCTGCTATCTTCCTGTGTCATGTCCATTCCTTGAAGTGGTTCCTGACTTTGGTTTTGATTTCATTTGGGTCTGTGATGATCGTAGTTTTATCTGTCCCAGTATGTTCGATCAGTCTACTTGTGTCAATCTTCCTGTGGAACCTGTCTAGTATACTATCTATCATTCTTCTTGGTTGATCTTGTAGGAATTTGAAATGCTTTTCTATTCTGTTATTGATCATCTTAATTTTCTCCCTTTTTATCACTTGTTGGGCTATCTCATTTTCTATCTTCCAAAGTTCCTGTAATTCCTTCAACCAAAGGTATTGTTG